CCCTCTCCCCCCACCACCACCACCACACACACACACGATCAAGTGTAGTATCTGCTTCGATCAGTTTCATATCCGATCTTCTCGCATGATCAAGCCGCAGTATCTGCTCCGTTCAGTTAGCACTCGCTAACGAGAGAGAGAGAGAGAGAGAGAGAGAAGCAATCTTACTAGCTACATGCATCTCCCCCCCCCCCACCGATCAAGTGTAGTATCTGCGTCGATCAGTTTCAAATCCGATCTTCTCGAATGATCAAGCGTGCTATCTGCTCCGTTCAGTTTCATATCTTATCCGTGGTTCATCGACACCTTTTTATTGTATGAGGGAAAAAAATCACCTGCGTGCTTGAGCGAACGAGAGAGAGAGAGAGAGAGAGAGAGAGAGAGAGAGAGAGAGAGAGAGAGAGAGGGGGGGGGGGGGTCGTCCTCTTCGCGTCTTTATCTAGCTTGCAGTTGCCGCTTGTCGGATCCATCATCTAAGAATGTTCTTATTTCCATCTTTCTAGCCGTTTGCTAATTAATGCGATCTGCGTGCTGAGTTATATGTTGAGCTGGTACTGACAACCACGTTGTCACCTGTCGCTGTGCAGATGATGAGTGTTCACGGGCGTGCTCTACTCCGTACGCGGACACGTGACGCGACCCTGTAAAGTGGGAACAGAACAGCATCATCAATCGGACAAGCATCTATCATCAGGAGGTCGCTCGTCAATCGATCAGCAAGAAGGGTTTTAGGAGCCGTAGGGTTTAGCAGCACCAAGGGTGGATTCCATTGTCATGTCAGAGTCTCAGTTTTCGCCCCCTCCTGGTTCATTGGAGACCATCCCCTGCCACGTACGCGCACTGGCACCGAATCGATGTCGCGGCAGCGCTGCTTGTCGTTTAGATGTTGGGCGATAGGATGGACGCAGAGGACATTGCCTGAACAAGAAATTACAAGAAATTGAACGGAATGCACTGCTTGGCGTGTAGAGCATGTTCACATTAGCACTTTGACCTTTTGGACTGAATCTGGCGGTCATCGCCGCGAGATTCATGCAGGAAACCCCTACTCTGACTATGCCCTTAGACCCTTCCGGGCCGTCCCCACCCGCCGAAATAGGTTGAATGATTTCTAAGGGGTTCGAATGCTCGTCGGAGGGCGGAGCACTTGCTTGCTCTGCTGATTCTGAAGTCCATCATCACTGCGATCCCAGTTTCCCGCCATCTTTCGTTTTAAAAAAAATTGGACCATTTCAGTTTCCCGCCATCTTGGGGCATATTTACATCAGGATTTTGTAAGGAACCGGGATGTCATTCCGGGAAGATACGTCTAGGGAAGTCCTAGAGTTAATCTGCCCCCCTTACTGCCCGACCTCGCGGTAGGCAGATCAACGGCCGCAGACGGAGAATGCACAGTCAAGTGGAATTTCACCCCATTCAAGCCAAAAGATATTGATGACACCAGAGGGAGATTTAAGGAGCGGCAGGGAAATTCAAGGGCAGCAGGGAGATTTCAGGGGCAGCAAAGGAGATCCTTTTGTGGCTTATTTCTCGAAAGGACGACTGCGGAACTGGGCGGGCCATTCAGAATGAATTTCGATTCGAAATCAGGTCTGCATTTCAGCAGTTCATGCTCGCAGTGAGGACGGGTTTAAGCGGCCGAAGGGAGATTTGAGAAGCAGCAGGGGAAAGTTTTAAGGAGCAGCGGACTGAGGAGAAACGGGTTTGAAGAGGGAGGGAGCAAGTGTCGTCATCATCATCATCATCATCATCATCATCATCATCGGCGTCATCATTATCGGCATCGGCATCATCATCATCACCACTGGCTATGTTGTTGTAATCGTCATCAGCAGCAGCAAGCAATCAGCTCCCAGCAGAAGTAAGGGAGGACTGGGGAACCAACTAAGCAGCAAGAAGGAGGCTTTTGGAGACCTGCTGGTAGTCAACAGTCCTACTGTCTATCGTTAGTCAGATACATCAGACATTCGTTGTGCTAGTCACATAGCAGCAGTTTGCTTGGTAAGAAAGGCGTGGGGTAGTCGATAACCTGCTATAGCGGCAGCATCAGGACGAGGCGGCAGCGAAACAGCGACAGGAATAGGAGGGGGAGGACGAGGAAGAAGCAGGTGACGAGCAGGAGCAGAAGAATAGCAGCAGCAGCAGCAGCAGCAGAAGAAGAAGAAGAAGAAGAAGAAGAAGAAGAAGAAGTGGAGGGGGAGATCAACCATGGCAGGGATGGTTGGTGAAGAGGATGGGGTATGTGGCAAGAGCCATGAGGTGGGAAATGGTAGTGGAACAAAGATGGGTCTTCCGGGGTTGAGTGTGGATAAGCTAGGAGGAAATGGTTCTATACTCAGCGTCAATTTTTCTGTAGAAACCCAAGCCGTCCACTCACTCCCGTGTTCTATACAGTTCAATGGTCCAGCATCAGTTTCCAAGTACCTCGTCCCCAAGGAGACCGACATGATCATAGATGGGCTTCAGGTTAAAGAAGCTGCTTTTCGTGGACGCAAGCTGCTCGGTACAACCATTCCTTTGCCCAACGGCTATGGCGGGATCGTGCTCAGCAATGTTTCTGCTGCTGGTTCTTCTTCTGTTTCATCATCTTCTTCCGCTGCTGCTTCTTATACATCTGCCACGTGTTCGAATCGGCTCCCTTCTTCTGCAAGCTCTGTGGCTCGCAGGAAGAAGGGAGTCGATTCGAACGCTTGGCAGACGGATTGTGCCTTCGATCGGCTGACGTATTGGAATCATGATGTCCCTCCCACAAGCGGCGATGCCATTAAGCGAGCCCTAGACTGGTTGGTCTTGGCAGATGCAATTCATTCTCCTGTCCAACCTGAGGAAGTGGAAGCTGCCATCAAATTGGCGGCAGCAGATTGCATTGCTGTAGGTACCAAGCGCAAAGCAGCCAACCTGTAGTCTTCTAGAGTGGTGGAATCCCCCCCATCCTCCATTCATGGTGGCGATTTGATGTTGAAGTTAGTCCGAAACGGAATGAGACCCTAAAGTGCGATTGAACTGCAATCCGTAGGAAATGCTGTGGATTTGGAAGAGCGGCATGGGCACAAAAAAAGGGAGAACGACAAAACACAGTCATGAAAGAAGACCTAGCCATCACCGCACTTGGCTGGCGGAACATGAGGAGTTTCAGCAGCTATGGCGCCAGACCAGACCCGACCTTGTCAGGGACAGGGACTTACTGCTTGGAATGGTGGTGATTGGTGGCAAATTGTTTGTGTGAAAAGACGTCAGCTTTACGTTGTGTCTTTCCCATGGTCCAGTCAGACAGACGGGATAACAGTATAGGTTGCTGGAGGGTGGGTAGGTGAGGAAGAAGAGGATAACACTCTGTTCCTCTGTTGCCAAAGAGAACGTTGATGGACACACAATGGGCCTAGCTCAGTTGGTACACCCATGAACTGCTGAAATACAGGCCCAGGCTCAAATCCAGATGCAATCAGATGAACCGAACAAATAAGTAATTCTGAATTACCTGGGGCCGGTCAGTTGAACGATGATGACAGGATTGATATCCCAAGGCCATCGCCCTTTGTCAGAAGTGAGGGAAAAAAAGAGGATGTTGATAGACCAAGTTGTTTGGCATTGGCATCAGGTTTAAGTTTGTGTCTTCTGGTGAACGATCCGCATGCAGAGTCACAGGACATATGCGATGAATGAAGGGCCTTCCAGAGAATGTCGGTAGACCACTTTGTTTGCATTGACATCAGATTTAGGTCCGTTAAAAATTGGAACGATACCGAGAAAATTACCATCGCCCCTGTGCAAGGATGACACGGATAAATCGAGAAATGGTGCAAAATTGCAAATTTAGAAGAAAAAAAAGGGGTTTGCGTCTGCTGGTGAAGGATCCACACACAGAGTCACAGACATATGGGGTGAATAAAGAGCCTGCTGGAAGGGGAGATGACGAAGAATAGGATGTGTACTGTGTTGAATCATGTTGATATGACATGACACGTTGATGGATGGAAGAATGCCTGCTGTGTTTTGTGGATAGAATCATAGAGTAGATTATTCATTGCTGGGCACAACTCTGAGGCTGCAACACCATCGATCAGGACCAGCCTTTTGCCTGGTTGGATCCGTCTCTGCAAGGGGATGAAGATCGGGAGTAGTAGTTTAGTAGGGGGGTAGGGGTTGATGTACTTCTCTGAAGATGGCTTTTTTTTGTTTGTTTTTCTTAAGGGCGGCGGCCTTGAGATATCATCGAATTGACCAACCTTAGGCAATTTAGAATTGTGGTATTTCCTTCATCTGCTTCCACTGGAGTTCGAACTCAGGTCTGTGTATTTCAACAGTTCGGGGGGTCTACCAACGGAGCTAGGCCAGTTGGTTAGATGACTCTTTACCTCTCTTCTGTTTTAGGATGAAAGTCAGGGTGTCCATGCAAGCACCCTGATGCCAGAGGGCAACCCCTTGTTTGGTTTCAGGTCTTGTTTCCATTCCTTGCTGACGTTATTCTCAACAAGCTTGTGTCCACTCGTTGCTTACTCTATTTCTTCTTCTTCTTCCTCTTCTTTTTTCTTCTTTTTTTCTTTTTTTTTCTTTTTTTCCCCCCAAACAACACAAGGTCCCTTCTATTCTGGGGGACATCAGTCCGGTTGCTTATTACCGGCAATCATGAAGGTATAGATGATAGAAAGAGAACAAGAGACAGCCTTGCCTTTGTGGCACTAGATGCCTGTGCAAGGGGGCGGGCTGCTATGAGTTGCCTAATTTGGAAATTGGGTCTATTTGTTGCGGTGGTTATTCTCAAGATGCCTCATTTGGAAACTGTTATCACAGCCAGTGCATTACCAAGCACACAGATGAGCGAGGCAGTGAGGTTGTTTCTCGAGAGGTTTCCCTTCTGCTTATCTGGTTGGTTGTCTGTCTTTCTGTCTGTCCTTCTAACTGCATTTTGTGACAGGCGGGCCAGGAATCGGACATGGTGGTGGATTTGAATGGGGATGGAGATAGAGTTACAGAGCAGTCTGCTCCAGGCTTTTTTGCATCTCCAATTTGCAGGAACAATGGAGGTCTTTCTTCTGATTGCTCCCCCCCCCCCCCCAATTTTTCTTCAAACTTGAAATATCTGAGACTCGTTCGGGACATACATTAACATTGGAATGATAAGCATGGCCCCTGCACAGATTGGAATGACATAGAGAAGGTTAACATGGCCTCTGGCACTCTGGGCAATGTAGCATGCTGGCGCCTGTACACGCGTGCCCCCTTTGGATTCAGCATTCCCTTATTTTTTAATGCATTTTTTAAAATTTATTTGTGCTCAGTCGTTTGTCTGGTCTGTGTTTGTCTGTTTTTTTTTTTTTTTCCTCCCCAAAACTAAGCTGTATTCTTCACTCATATGCCTCACTGTTACATGCTGCACCTGCACACGGGCCCCATTTGAGGGGCCCGGCGGTGGCTGAGGGGCCCCCAGGCCGCATGCCCATCAGACATGCGCCCTGGAGGCCCATGGTGGCCCTCAGGCCGCAGATTTCAAATCAAGACGGCATTTATTTACTTATTTATTTACTTACTTGCTGTCCTATTTTGTCTGTGCAGACGTCGTTTCGACTGGCAGTCACCAAGGCAACGCCTTGGGCCAGGGACACAGGGACGAGGCCGTTTTCAGGCCAGGTGCGTCTCGACGCCACGCTGCATCAGCAGCACGGACTGGATACCCGGTAGGGGCCCAGACCGAGTAGGCCGTTTGAGGCCAGTACCTGAGGAGCGCCCAGCAGGCCCAGCGCTACTTATAGCTGGGCTGAGGCTGGGCAGCAGACAGTTGGAGTAGCTCACTTCTGGAGCGTCACGCTGCTGCGCTGCTTAGCGCTGCACTGCGGAGTAGAGGCTTAGGAGGCAGAGGGGCGGCGGCCATACCTGCAGGGTGGACTTACCTGGCGCCATAGCTGGGACACCGTGCGGTACTTGCACAAGAGACCACAACACAACGGTCAGTACATGGAAGCAGCTACCTGCAGGTGAGATAGCGAGGAGGACGACATTCTCTTCTTCTTCCTCACCGTCCGGCTGATCTCCCTCTCTCTCCCTCCTTCCTTCCTTCTTCTTCTTCTTCTTCTTCTTCTTCTTCATCAGATACGAGAGAAGAGAGAGAGGTTACAGGCGGAGGATACAGGCAGAGGTTACTGTGGGCATGGCGTGCAGGATTTGATCCGACATTTTTGAGGCAGACATTGATTGGACTTTCGGCAAGGGATTATTTTTGGACGGCGCTATCATGATCTTGGTCTACTCCCTCGCCTGCACCTTCGTCTCGCCTCTCCCCCCCATCTCCTCCGTGGTATCTCCCCCATGTGTGTATACAAGGAGGGACCTTTCTTCTATGTGTGCGGTCCCTCTTCTTCTCACATGTGTGGTGCATGATGGGATGTCGTGTCAGTCCCGGTCAGGTCAAGACTTATCTTCAAGTCTTCCACTGTGCTACTATGTGCCATTTTGTATGTATCAGGATGTACATTGCCTGTTGATGTTCCACTGACATTGCATTGTCCATTCAGTCCTTTTCATCACATTGCGGATCCTTGGCTCAATATACATTGCCCAACTGGGCATGCATCACTCACACTACCTATCCTGTTATCTAATTCCAGTTTCCAAATGGTTGAAGTTATGGGTTAACTCTCCCTAATGAATCGCAGCCTTCTTGTTCTGCTCAACTCTGCTCTATGCGGGGAGCAGTACCCTGGCTCCTAACACCTGGCACGAGCTGGAAAGCATCCTCTCTGCTTCCACAACCAGCCAGGAGGCCCAAGCCAATTATCTCTGCTGGTGAACCCGAAGCGTATCACAGAGGAACGCGGGGAATCGAATGGACGACGTGGGAATTGAACCCATGACCTCCTCAAGACCACTTATGTGCTCAACCAACTGAGCTAGCCTGCTTGGGCTAGTGGTGTCGTTTCGGGCTTTTGGGCCTGTCCGAACAGACCTGTGTCTGTTCGGAGCAGGACCACATTTGGGCCATTCTAGGCCAGGTTCGGAGTCGTCCAGTAGTGGACTTCGCTGCTGCATCAGCAGGAGGGCCTGGATGCTCGATAGGGACCCAGGCAGGCCGTTCTGGGCCAGGACCACCAGGAGCAGGACTTGGGCCTGCACTCAGGACCATTAATCGGGTCCTAGATCCGATGCTCCTGAGCGCAGACCATAGGCTGCCCAGCCAGGCCCAGCGCTATATCTAGCTGGGCTGGTCCTGTACCTGGGGATTCAGGAGTTTCACTTCATAGGCGCCATGCTGCTGGAGCAGTGCGCGATATTCAGTGCTGCATTAGCGTAAGAGGTAGAGGTGTAGGAGGTAGTGGGAGAGAGGAGTGGAGTTGGAGGCCATACCTGCGAGATGTAGAGGACTTACCTGGGCGCCATAGCTGGTTCTTTCGCCGGCGACCTGCAGCACAGAGAGGCACCTCGACACGTTAGTACGTGGCAGCAGTTCCCGCAGGTGAGACACAGAGAGGTCGACATCTTCTTCTTCTTCTTCTGTCTCCATGCTCCATATCCATCTTTCTTCTTCTTCTTCTTCTTCTTCTTCTTCTTCTTCTTCTTCTTCTTCTTCTTCCACACACAGATACACACACACACACGCACACACACA